TATTCTTCTCTCTCTCTCTCTCTCTCTCTCTCTCTCTCTCTCCGAGATATGCCAACTTAATTTCGCTGCCTCGACACCGGTGGTCCGACAGGATCCGAGAAGAACCGGTCGATGTCCAACCGAACGCTACCGATTATCCCGAATCGAACATTACGCGCCCGGCCGGATCCCATTAATGGCAGGAAGAACGATGATTCACACGCACGCGGTTCCATCTTTTCCACCCTGTTCGTCGCGTGTCTTTGACGCTTGTCACGGCTTTTGCCGCGAAATCGCATTATTCCGGCCCTCCCTCTATCAAATTGCGTCCACCATTAAGCCTGCTCCTCATCCTCATCCTACCACGTCCTTTGATCCTCCTCGTAATTGGAACGAGCGAGAAACAATATACGATTCGAGTAATTCCTATTCTTATCAAAATTGGCAAAATTAATCGTATATTTGATATCCAACTGTTTATTGTATATATATATATATATATGGACAAATTCGGCGTAAAAATATTTCTCTTAGAGGTTCTCGCACGCGTCCGCAGACTTATCGTATATACTCAGCGTTATCTGGCCGTGAACTTCGGAACCGCTCCCGTTTCTTCGAATGCGAAAAACGGTGTCCTTTTATTTCGCTCGGAAAGCAGTTTGACCGTGGTGGGAAATAAAAGCGGCCGGTGACGGAGAAAGGCGCAGGGCGCGAAAGAGGAAGAGACAATGGTGTATTGTGCGGCAGGAACACGGTGCGGCGGCCTGGTGCACGCATCGCATCCGTTTCTGATCTGACGCACACGCGAAACCGGGCCTCCACGTCTGTGCAGACTCGCAAGTTTAAACATAGACCGTGACGTCAGTGTGCCGGCTGCCGTCCCGTCACATTTCGTTTCGTAACTTTTCGACACTGTCTGTGTCCGCCTTGGATCCACGCGACCGCCAGCCATCCGCGAGCTTTCAAAATTCGTTCGTTGGATATTGTGTACTTACGTATCGATCGATCGATCGATGGACTTCAAGCGGGATTTGAAGATTTTCTACAGAAGATTTAAATTTACGAGAGATGACGATACGTTTTGTACATTCACATTGGACGGAGTATAGCATGTACTTGGTGCGAATAATTTTTAATTTGAATTAAATTTTGTGTCAAAAAAGATGTAATTGTATCACTGCGATGTGTACTTATATAAATCGGTTACTAAACAAAGTTGAGTGAACTATAATGGATTAAACTTGCGAAAGAAAGTCAAGTTGCGGATGAAAAGAATTTTGAAAAGAAATAAAACGATATTAAATTAACACTCACAGAATTTCATTCTCTATATAAATGGAACCGAACCAACTTTCGATTTTTTTCGAGAACGAGACACGAAAGGGTTGATTTCACCTAGGATTTCGTCATTGCACGTTCTCTTTTTTCGGCACTCGTGACTCACTGTGTTAGCCGCGCATCGATCAGTCGCTCGTGCTCGCTCCAATCTCAATTTCTTCCCCTTTGATCGTGCTTCGAAAAGAGTTTATCAATCCAGCGGCGATCTGTACGTGAGGCAAAGCAGTAATTGACCCGATCGGTTGAATTTCCTTCCGTAAGAAGATCTAGAAAGTTGCGCAACGGATGTTCACTTTTCCTCGTGAAAATATCCGATGGGTCCGACGAACAAGGCTCGCGACACGGATTAATCTCTCGTCTCAGTGGCTCTCAAACGAGGCTGTTCGAAAATTAAAGGTCAAAGTACAGCATAGTCTAATTAAGAAATTGCTAAGAGAGCTCAGATCTCACTCTGATTCCATGCTTTTCGTAGCAATTCACAATGCCAGCCGATGTTTTCCACGAGATGAGAGGAGAGAAGATCTATGAAAAGGGTCGTAACTTGATTCACCGATAATATCCGACGTGGACAAGCGCGATGTAGTAAAAGGTGTAATGAAATTCTGTAATGCAGTGCGGGAGAATCGGTAGCCAAGAAGGGAGCACTTTGTGCCAGGCATAAAGCGATCTCGAGTATACACGATTTGAATAGGACGGCCGGTCGCGAGATTCCTTCAAAGAGAGACGGCCTTCCAGTACGCCTTACACGGGTGGAGAGGATACGTTCAACCCGTTACGCGTCTTCAAAATCCGCGTTGGATAAGACAAAGAGAGAGAGAGAGGAGAATAGATATCAGCGAATGCCACGGAATATTTATTTTCCTCGAAAATATACAGGCGAGCCTTGAAACACGTGGCTCAACTGGATCGTCGAGGTCTCGGCCGTGGCACAATTATCGGTGGGAAAAGTAAGCGCGTTCCATTTTAATCGAGATAAAACTGATGGAGCGTTGTCACGCGAAAAATTTTATACCGCTCGTGTAAAAGATCCGTGGCGCGGTTTTTTAAAAGCCAGCGGTAATTCTCACATTTAAAGAGGCAGTTTTGTGCATTCCGCCTTCTTTTATTCAGTCGCTCGGCATGCTTCGAGAGCATCAACGTCGAAATTTTCTCTCTCTCTCTGGCGGTGGGCTCTCTCGCAATTTCGCTGAGTGCATACTCGTGTACTCATATGCGCCGATCGAGCCCACCGGTCGTGGATGCGCACCGCGTTCCTAGCAATGTCTTGGCAACGTGCCCGAGTGCATACCTGGATTACAAGCCGTTGATTTTACCTTTTCTGTTTCTTCCACTCGCCTTTTCCCTCGCAATCTCGCCGTTTATCTCGACGTTGATACGATGCGCGCCAAGTCGTTGCACCCTCGAATCGGTTCGCTTCTTTCTTCCTCCGTCAACTTCTGTTTCTTTTTTTCGCTCCCTCGAAAAAAATTTATCGATGCCTCTCGAAGTATTCGATGGTTGATATAGGTTGATATCTCCACTGTCGTTCAATTATAGAAACGAATTATAGGCAATTAAACCTCCTTCCTCTCCGCCTTGGCGCTTGTTTATTCATCTCACGGATTATCTAAATACGTCCGCGCACACGTCCCCCTTTCATAGGCCTCGCGTATCGATAAATCGATTCGATCTTAAGCGAGCGAAAAATATAACGGGTCCGGTTTTTTAACGTCTTCGAACGATCTCTGGAAACGTTATCACCTTGTGTCAATATTATGCTTTGTGTATATCGCGAACAATTTGCTCTTATCTCCCTGAATTCTTCCTAGCCTGGCTTGTTGTTCACATGGAGGAGCATGCGATAAAATTAATGAGAAATATTGTAGAAAATCTTCGTCGATCGAGAATCGATCCACAAATTTCGGATATAAAAGAATACATGTTTGATCAGCCTCTACATTCTGCCTCTCCACGTATCCGCGTATAGATACACGCAGGACCTGTCCTCCGTCTGTAAGAACGCGTAGGCGAAACTTGGTTTCCATTCACCCGAACGCCTTCGTGTCCATTCATGGTGTTTAACAGTGTAGTATGTCGACTCTTGTCACGCGTACCGCTTCACATGTTTATGTGATAGATTAGAGGCGAAATTGGCTTCCCGGTGTCTCTATCTCGTCCTCGTCGGAGAGGACTAAGAATCGATAACGGATACGATACAAAGATACGATACGGCGCGTGTTACGTACGATTCGATCGATACTTAATCGTACGCGTAATCGTACGATTAAATAGACGGAGAGAAAAATTTGAGAATCGGTCGTCTAGGACCGTCTATTATTAATTTATTTATAGCGCGGGATATTCGCGGGATATCGTTTCCAGCATGCCGTGGCTCACGTACACAAAGCCTATTATATGAAATTATCGAAACAGCGTTACGCGGTTGGTGTATTTATAGTGGACGATAATTAAGCGTTCTTTTATGGAAAAAAAGAAGAGGGGGGAGGAAAAAAGAAGCCTGAATGGCGTATGAAAGGCTAACGGCTGACAATGATACATAGCGAAGACAAGGAGGGTATAATAATAAGCCGATAAGTTGACTCGAGTTGCAGTCGATCGGCGGCGATGTCTACGCCGTTGCATCATTGCTGATCGTTCCAACCGCCGATAAAATCGAGAATTTTTCACGTGCAAATCGATTCGACCGTCTACGAGGATCTACGTGATCCCCCCCCTCTCCTCCTCTATATCCTGCTATATCGATCGCTCGTTATTTTGTTGTCCTGTCAACGTATCGCGCACGGCCAGTGTGTGTCGGCGCCTATTTTATGATTTACCGCGATCGATAACATCGATAACGCCTATCTATACCGCGTTTTATATACCTTATCTGCCCACGCAAGTCGCGGAGCGTGGCTCCCCCCCGCGTGCGCCCTTCGACGATGTCTCCATTGAAGCCCTACACCCCTCCTTCCCTCCCTCGATGCCCATTCAACTCATTCTCACGCGCGCGTTCGCACACCTCCTTTCGTCCGATCTTATCGTGGTCCCAAGGTGACGCGATCTTCGAGATCACGCTCGAAGGATAGACGCCCTCGTATGGAGGATTGCAAATCCAACCAACGTCGCTGGAATAACAACTAGCCGAGAGATCCGACCTCCCCCTTGCTGTGGATCATTTACAGGGTCCTCGCGTAGGCCGTTCGAAGCGGCCTGCACAGGGAAAGATAAACGTCTCGAAAGATTTAAAGGAGTATGGTACGTGTCGTAAGTGCGCGTACGTGCCGCGTACCCGTCCGAGTATCGAGGTAATTACTCACGATCGAACACCGTACACGAAAAGCTCGAACTCGAGCTCTTCGAAACGAGATTCACGCTGCGTCAACTCGATCCCTGCATCGCCGATTATTCGTACAGGCAACGTGTAAATGCACGCGAAACAATGTATTTCACAACGTGAAAGCGTGTAAATACGCTTTTGGTCGACGCGATTAAAAATCGAGTTTTTTCTTCACCCTTTTTTCACCCTGATCCCTGATGTTTCTTCTTCTCTCGCGAAACGCTTGGGAAATTAATGAACCTTCGCGGAGGGGGAGGGGGAGAGGGGGGCAAAGCGCGTGAAACCTTGTGTCCGAAGGCGGTGACACACGGCGAGCGCGGTTCGCTACACGCGGGGCGATCGCAAGAAGCGCGTGGCTCTCGCGATGAATGGATCCCTTTCATTGCGATAGCAGAGCGAAAGAATGCTAACGAGATTGTATAATTGCACCATGTATCGATGCGCGACCAAAGCTGACCCCCGATCGAGCGAATGCAACGACCGTACGAGGAAAAATACGGAATCGCGAGAATTAACGCGGCTTCCGGAAAGCGGCGAGCAACGACCGCTATCTCTACCGCCTTCTTTTTTCTTTCCTTTTGCCTTCCTTCTTTTCTTTTATCTATCGTTACACTTTTCATCTAAATATATTTATAACTCTTCAGGGACAGAGAGAGAGAGAGAGAGTAACAAGTAGCGTTCAAAACAGGTGTACCATTTACCCAAGCTGGGTAGCATGTTACATCCGTTCAGAACCACGTATGCAGACCATTTCCATACCAACTGTACAACAAGCGCACAGAGGCGGATCTTGACCAATAAAATTTCCTCTATCTTCGCGATAGCGTGCCAAGCACGGGACGTCGAACCTTTGACCAGACACGTTCTCGCTCTCGGTCTATATCTCGGATATTAACTTGGGTACATTTCGTATCTTCCTTTGTATCTCCCGCAATAAACTTCGATCTAACTAGTTCGGGAAAAAGAATCCCTCCTCGAGGAAAATCCTTCTTCGCGAGGAGAAGGTATGACTCGTACGGTGTGTGGTCGTTGATCGGTTAGTCGGTAGTTAGCGGATTCGTTCTCTGTGCGTTATACCGGAAACGGTGTTACAGGGAAAGGGGAGAGCTGACGTCAGCGGAAGTCGATGATACTCGACTGAATGTGCGAGAGTTAAGGATGTGCAGCGACGATAAGGCGACCGGAATCCTTGGCGAAGCAATGTGAACGACGGTGATACGAGGCCTGATGCCTTCCTCTTTCTTTCGCTTCAACGACGCTTATGCTCGTTTAAACGGAAGCGGCAATCTGCTTCGAACGCGTCGAAGAGATTTTAACTCGGCTCGATTATGCGAGGCACGCGGGGACATTTTTCTTTTTTGTTTTTCTCCTTTCCACGCGACGATTATTCGCGGAATACGTATGATCGCCTATCGTAAAACCATTCTTCGAGACTTTCATGCACGAGCTTGTACCACGGCTCGATCGAGACGCTCGTAAAATTTTGCGTAAAGTCTCTACGAGGCGATAGCTCGTCGGTCGGGAAGTGCTCGAGGGAGAGGTTGTTACAGCGATAGCGAGAGCTTTCATAAAATTTTATTCCTCCAAGGTCATTCGGCGCGAAAGTAAAGCGCCCGCTCCAGCAGAGCCGAGGCTTTTCCCGCCGATCGATCCGGCCGGCTCCTCCCACGTTATTCCGATATTCGTGTGGGACCTCGCGTACAGAGCCACCCCTTCGAGGGACGCGACGCGGTTGGAAAAAAAAATTATAGACGTCTACGTCTTGGTTGGTCGCAAGGTCGAGGAGAAAAGCGGCCAATGTGTGGTTTCGCGATCGAGCTTGCTCTCTTCTCGTCTCTTTTGTCGGCCGACGATCGAGCCGCCGACGGTGTAGCGAAGATAAATTGCTCCGAGGGAGCTCGATCGCAAGAACCGACTTCTTTCCTTTCCCCTCCCCTCCAGATGTATCACCAGAAATAGTTAATGTATCGAGGAAACTATATATATATATTTCTTCGCGCGTTTTCTTTCGATGCTTCCCGAGAAACTGGGCCTCTGGAAATTAACCATCACGATTTATGACGAGTATCACGGACAGTGCTGAATTTACATTAATAAGGGAACGCTTTTGACAGCCTCTCGCGAGCAAATGAATCAACAGGGATTAAAGCGGGTTTGACTATTTTCAAACTTGTTAACCATCTGTTGAAATCTGTACGTAGGTTGCGATTTAACGTAATGGATAGAAATACTTCTGTCGAAATTATTACATCGCGCTTGATAAATGTCGTTGGACGATATCGAGAATGGTAATTCCGGCTCATCCGGAATTCTTTTACACGTAGCCACGGAATAAGCTGTTACGAGCAGTCGGCAGTATTTTCGTCGCGTTTACGTTTCACCAACTCGATTCGACGAAACGATATATATATATATGCCCGCGTGTATGTGCCTCCTAAAGATACGAGGACGCATTTTACTGGCCATTGCGAAATGCAAATCCGTGGCGCCAGTTTGCATGGCCGCTCGGCCGCATTACGTCATCCGACGGCCGAACAATTTTTTTCTTTCCTCGATCGTATATTTCGATAATCCTTTTAATTATCGCCGCACGATCAAATTTCTACGAGTCGATGCATAAAATCGGGAAAACTCGTTTCCTCGAATGCAAGATCCTCGATCGATTCGAGAAACCAAGATTCGCATTCGTGCGCGATTATAGCGATATCTTGAACCGGAAACGTCGGCAGGCATATCAATCCAAGAGTCGTTGGCGCATCCATTCATGAACGTGGAAGCGCCACCCGATCAACCGCCCAGACGATAGCTTCCAAGACTCTGAGGATAGTGCGAACGTTTTAATTAGCCATCTTAGCTCCCTCGATTTACAAGAAATCGTTCGTACTTACTCGTTGAAATTTCTCGAGTCGAATCCAAGCGTGTATAAAATTTTACAATTTGTGGCGGATGATTAATAATAACGGCTGTGCAATATCGTGTAAAACCGTATCGATCGAGACTGGCTTCGCCATATTCCTCGATCACATTTCAATATATATATATATATATGGAGAGAGAGAGATCGTAGAAAAAGAAATTTTCTTTGCTCGCTCGCCAGGTATAAAATTGAGGGATAAAAGTCATTTAGCACAGTTAAAGCGGCATCCTTTCACGCAACGACGATTTCGAAGAGGTATTATCGTCGAATAATCAGAGCGAGTCGTCGCTTTCCGATGCGACCGAGTGCAACGACAAAAAAGCAGATTCGTCCACAATGGCCCGGGGCGACGAACAATCGTGCCACCGTTCTCCCCCGGTTCCCTCGAGAAAGCGAGGAAGTTGCGCACAATGAAACGAAAAAAAGAGGAACAACCTCTCTCGCGGCCGTAGAAACGTCCACGTCCCGGAAGTGCGAGCCGGTCGTGCCTCATTACCGCGTGCGTTTCCCGTGCAACGACTAATTGCGACTCTCCTCCCTGTTTCTCTCACGCGCCACCTTCTCAACCATCGCGGAATCTCTCTTCCCTTCCCTCCTCCCCTATTCTTCCCCCTCCTCCCTCCATTCTTCCGCCGTCGCCGTTTTCCGCTCGTTTTCCCTTTCACGGAGCGGCGGGAGGCGAATCGTGCATTCGCAACGGACGATTCGGCCATGGGTGAAATCGATCCAAGGAATCCTCCTCGTCGACTCGATCAAAAGCGAGAAGAAGGGGATAGAATAGAAATGGCGCGATTATGAGGGGTGTTTTAATCTCAGGTGCAGGTTAGGATTAGGGAAGGATGAAGGAAGCGGACGATTCCAATAATAGTTTTTCTCCAGCCGACCTCCTCTCCCGCTCTTTCTGCAACAAGCAGCCCCTTTCCAAAGCCTCTATAAATACCTTGGCTTGACCCAGTTTCTTTTGGGGATAAGGAACCGGAGATGTTGCCATAAACCAAAATTATCGTGTGACGCCATGGCTCCGGAGCGGGAGTAGAATAAACTGCGGAGTGTTCGCAGATTTCGCGAAGGTCGTTCTCTCTCTCTCTCGAGAGAGAGAGAGAGTTTCAGTTTTTAAAGCTGACGCGAGCGTATTTAATAGAGAATAGAGTTTCTTCCGATGATTCCACTTGCAAATGAATCTTGGATGACAGCGTAACGTTTGATCGCGTCACTGGTGATTTCCATAACTCGAGTTTAGCGAATTTCTATTTATATTTCGATATAATTCGTGTACATCATTGTATTTCAAAAAATGTATACCTTTCTAGGAAAAAGGTAAGAACGATTCGTGAGCTAATTTTCTATTCTTCTATAGTCCTTGAAATACCTCTTCTCCTGAATTAAGAAGCGTGAAACGAGCGATTCTTTCAAATATAGATAATTTAGAGATAATTACGCTTCCTTGCTTAATTAACCTGACGAATGTCAAAATTACCATAAAACGCCAACTATAGAATTCCAAGATTGCTTCGAGGCGCCGCACGTAGCGAAGCTCGAGCCCCCGGACGAAGTTATTTCGATCCTGCCGGAAGTTCCACGTCCTCGATCCTTTCTTCGATCGGCCATCGATCGCGGCCGACACCTCCGGCATTGCAATTCACCACCCGTGATGGCCCATTGTGCGCTCCATAACCTTCGCCTTCTGTCCCATCCGATTCGGAACCGTGATCGAGCCTAGTTCTCGGGGGAAGGTTTTTGGAAGGAACGATTGGCTAATATTTCGTAGGAAACGATCCGTCTGGTCGGGGACAGCCATCGCGGGGTCGTTGTTCCGACGTTTATTGCGCTCCCTCTCTCTCTTTTCTCTCTCTTCCTTTAGTTCCACCGTGTCTCTTACTCTTTTTTTCTTTCCTCGTCCTCTCTCTCTCTCTCGCAAACACGCTCCCTCCTTCTTCGTCTATGTAATTGCGCGTGCAGCGTCACTCGCGAGATCGTTGTCGCGACGCTATAACTTTTATTTGCGCTCGTAATGGAGCGAGGGAGATCAATTTGGCAGAGAGAAAAATAGAGAAACAGAGAGAGAGAGAGAGATTGTTACTTTGGGAGGATTATCAAGTTTTTATCTATACGATTCGATGAAAGGGAAAAATTCGAGCGAAATAGTTCTTAATAATAACGATTGGTTACTTTCATCTCGGCGTGACTTCCTTTGACCTTCTCTCTCTCTCTCTCTCTCTCTGCGTGGGCAGTCGCGCATCTTTCGATTCCATCCGAGATATATATATATATTCTGTTTAGTACGTACGAGACGAGGAAGCGCACTTTTGTTACCGAGTTAGCGGCCACGTTTATGGGAACGTAGGTGGAAAATCGCGGAGCGAGTCGTATTGTGCGCAAATAATGTAAATCGGCTTACCGTTACGGGTAATACAAGAGCCGGAAAGAGTTGGAAGAAAAAATAAGAGAGATGGCGAATGGACGAGTATCGAAGTTGGGAGAAATTTCGTCGACGCGTGTTTGATCGAATGTAATCGTTTATGTAACGATTCCTTCGTTTAAAAACGCGATCGTAAATCGAAGGCTCGATGAAAAGAGACGATTGGAAGAGAGCGCGATTTAATTTGGTCGATTGAATTCCAACGACCGTCTAGCCCGTATGGATTCCTCCAGTTAAAAAGTGGTTCAACTCATTAGGCACGCCCGTATATACGTATATCTGCTCGTAAAAGGTCAACGAAATCGATAAGTCTCGCAAATCGTTGTCTCTTTCCTTTATCATTTTTATGTATATATATATATATATTTTTTTCGAAGCCTCGTTAAAATAAAAGCCTGGATTCTTCAAATTGCAAATCTTCGATTCTGTACATATCTGTCGAACGAGGCACGTTCAAATTGTTAGTCTCGAGAGTTGAAACGGCATGGAACAGCGACAGAGATCGAATCGAGATTGCTCATCCTGCGAGACTTTCGTACTTATCGATCTCTCCGGATAGATACGAGATATCGAACGAAGGGAGTGCTGACCCGATTCTATCAGAAGACCCGAACAAAGACGGGAACCACCCACACTTATGGAATTCCGCCACAATCTGTGTCGAACAGCTGGTCGAACGTTTTCTGCGATTCGCTTGTCCCGAAACAAAATTCGAAATTATTTATCGCTTCGTGAGGAACACGATTTTTTTTTTTTTTTACATATCTCTATCGAATAAACTTGGACGACCGATATTTTCGCGATCCAATCGTTTAACCCCTTCGCTATTACGGGTGACTATAGTCGCTCTGCATAAGATGCCGCGTATCGATACGAGTTTGGAGTTATCGCGCGTCGAGTATCTTTCTCTGGAAACGTAACATCGATATTTTCTTTTTATCGTCAATTTTTTTTTCAATAAATACCAATCAAAACAATCGTGAGGCGTAAACGCGGCCGCTGATGATCTTTCTCGAGCACATTTTTGGTGCGGCGGCTCGTAGCGGTTAATAACAAGATAAAACGTTTTAATGAGATGCTAGCTGGACCACGCGCTCGTAAAGAACGTCACGTACAATTAATAGCATTGTTTGTTTCGTAACAGGTTCTTCCTCCTGTTACAAAATTGCAAAATCATCCACAAAGGAGAGGAGGGAGGAGGAGGAAAACATTATACAGGGAAAAGTGTGGGAAAAGTGTGGAACGAAAACTCGAAAGCAGGGAGCGTGGAGCGTGCGTAACGGAAACAGTGACGGCCTTGACTCGTTAATTAAATTCAGCATACATATTCATTCATTGGCTCGGAGGAAGTCCATACAGGTAGCGTCATCGTTGGTGCTACCAAGTTGCTAGTTTGGACGATGAGAGGCGGAGAAAACGCGTTTTGACGTGGTGGCGAACACGTTTTCGTACGAGACGTTTATCGTTTTCTATTCGGTCAGAATCGAACGTCCATATAGGACGATTTCGTCGGCGCGTTTCTAAAAACGGTGGACAATCCGATGCCCGTAGACGCCCACCCTTTTATGGTCGAGTTTACGCTTACGTTCCCTTCCTTCGAGCTCAACGCTTTCCGAGAATAAAATATCAGACGATCGATCACAACGACAGCGCGACATTTTTAACCGGGCACCTGTTGCATACGTCGAGGAATTTTCTTCAGAGGAAAGAAAGTTTTCCTCTCTGCTCTCCTCGTCGAGTATCTTTATACGCGAAGTGAAAAAAGTAGTATAAGCGTGTAAAATGATTCTGAAATTTGAAAATGTGTCAGATTATTCAGAAGAATTAAGTTCTGTTGATGAAAACAAATTTTCACATAGCTTTATCAATTCGCCGAGCAACTTGTTCTTTCGAATAATCAATATTATTATATAGTTGATAAATTATATAATACATTTTATCAAACATTGCGATAGAAACGGAGTAAAATAACACGCATCTTCGTTTTTCTTTCTTTCCTTTTTTTTTAATCTCTAAGCAAATCTCTAGGCCTTCGTATGACGAATTTTGAAACGCTGAAATTGGCTGGACCCGTTCCAGAGTAGAACAGAATAATAGAGAGCATAGATTCGATGACTCCAACGAGGTCACCGATAGTCGGTTGATGGCAAAAGTGGATCGAAAAGGGGGACACACGCGATAGACGATACGCATCTACGCGTGTACGCGCGTTGCGTGCGTAATTACGAGTACACACGCCCCCCAGAACCGTCAGATAAAGCGTAATCGCTCGAGTTATTTAAAGTGTAGCTCGGCTACACTTAACTCGAATTTCGAGGCCTGATTTTAGACGCGACGTCTTTTCGTCTTCCGTGGAAAAGATGACTGGCACGCCACGTGACCGAGACGCCATGTGACTCTTTACCATCCCCGGCACGCAATCGACGAATATGCGATAATTTTCACGTTTCATCGTGACCACCAATTATTCCAACTGTGATGTTCGTAACGAAATATCAAAGTTCGATCGATTAAACTGGCGTGCCGCGCCAGTTATCTTTACATTGTCTTCGTTTCCCTAATTTGTCGAACCGGTTGCGTAATAATTACGAAGACTAATCACGTGGTACAATTTCGCTATGCGTCCTAGTAAAAGAAAGGTCAACCGCGCCATACGAACGAATTAATCTCCATTGTTGCCGCGCAAAATGCACGATACACCGCTTGGGGAAGAACCGTACTCGTTACGGTAAGACATACGCGATAACACCAGAACGGTTTAACGAGCGTTTAAAACGTTCATTTTATTACACCACCGGTTTTCTTCTCACGGATCATCTAACTGTTCCATTCTCAGCCGCGTGAGACGATCGGCCGATCGTTCGACGACCCCGGATTGTTCATTGAATGCGTAACGGTTAATTATCGTCGGGCGATCAGCCGAGGGAAACGGCTGTTCAGAAAAAATCATCATCAGAGAGATACATCGAATCTCGATGGCAGATCGAAGCTTCGATCGATTTCTCGCTCGAACCGAGCGGAATCGGTGTTGCGCTCTGGATCGTGGACCATACAAACGGATTAAACTCGGTTAAACGCGTCCCGGCCTGAGTCAGTGCTTATTTTAGAACAATTAAGGGCCGGCAATAGCTCGAGCGAACCAACTCCACGACGAAAGATTTCAGCTTTGACAACTGCACTTGCGGCTGCTGCTCATGCGCCGTTGCGTAATTCCGATAATTATTTCGAAGGCGATTATTCTTATTGCGGGTAAGGGGGTGAAAGTGGATTGAAGGCGAGGACACTATCTGGACAACTGGAGTGTTTAAATAGAACGCAACAGGTAGAGGCCGGTCGATTTGCATATCTCTTACACCGTCGCGGTGCCGCATTGCGGGCACCGTGAAAGGAATAAATTCGTGTCGGGAATTACCTGTATGCAGTTTCTTACTTTTACGTTACGGCACTCCGAGATAAGTTCCACTCCGCTTTCGTTACATTTCCATTTCGTTTCCTCTTCGTCACGACATTATATGCTACGAGACTGGTAGATCAGTTTCGGTGTAAAGAAAGCGGAACTTTTAAATTTAATGCTCGATGTTCAATTGATTCGGAGGAACAGGTTTTAAACAAATGGATAGAAGGATTAGAGGGACGACTTTCGGACGGATAGAATCGCAGACGAGGGCGGTTCTCGCCAATCGAATCGATAGAAGTAGCGGAGATTTCTTCCAGAAAAAAAAAGTAATCGTGGCTTTGATTTTTACGTAACATTCGTCTCGAGAGAAGAAGCGGCGCCACGCTTAATCGACCGAGAAATCAAAGGGGCGTTGGTACCAAGCTAGGACTTTCTTCTGACTCGGCTGACTCCCTACGCGAGTTTCCACGAGTTTCGTCTTTGTGCCTCGTTTGTCGAGGGTAACTCGACAATGCTCCATCTCTTCAAACAGAATTAAAGGGAGAAGGAGATCGGCGAAAAACCGCGAGGGGTTGCACGATGATTTTATGCAGGCACGGATGCATCAGAAAATTCGTCGTTAACGAGTCCATCGTCGACTAAATATTCCTACTCATCCTGTGATCCTGTGAAATTGTACAAAGCCACGATATCGACACACCGTCTTTCGTATAATATAATAAAAATTCGGCGTTCGAAGACGTATCTGGATTCTTTTTATTATTTTTTTTTTTCTTTCCAAACACCGCGCGTTAAATCCACCCCTGAGCTCGTCCTTGCTGTTGACAGAATTGCTGGCGTTCTTCTAACCCTCTCTTTCTTCCCTCTCAATGGCCCACATTTCTTTGCACAATCGCGGACCCACAGAGGGTTGTGGCTGTTCCCTGGAACCCCTCGGTTTTTCGCGCAGGAACTCGGATGGTGGGAAGGGGTTGCCATTGTCACCGCTCCTTCTCGTGCCTCCATTATTATATCATAATATTATATCGCGACTTCCGCCGAGGATCGTTTGTTCCTGCGGAAAGGGGTGTTATGTGTAGCCACGTGCGCCACTGGTTTTGCCCCTTTATTAAGCGTGCATGCTCCGGATTCCTCTCTCTCTCTCTCTCTCTCCACTCCGTGTTTGCGTTTACACAAACGTCGTGGCACGTGGTTCCTGTGCTTTTTAATATTTACGTGTGCGTATATACTAGATATAATCCTGCCTAGGTCGAGGAGCTGGAGTATTTTAAAAGAAAACATTTCGTTACGCGACAAAACGATGATGCCACGCGCCGTTGAAAGAATTATGCGCCGCCGTGGAAAGGAGAGAGGAATGGAAGAGTTGTTGTCCATCGTCCGGGGATCGTGGAGAACGTTTAACGAGGTTTACGTTACGGGCCTCGTTATACAGGGACCCGCTACGAATCGCTTGGTCAGCTGTTGACACTGTACCTTGTGCTCGAGAAGGCTTGTGACACGAACAGACACGAACGTTTGATAACGAATACGATAACGAGCCTTGTATACATACGGTGTCGTGTGCAACGCGATGCGTGCTTCTATTTGCGCAATTCAATCGAAAACGATCGTTTCGATCCAAGTATTCGAGAATGTCGAGAGAATCATATATATATATATATATATATATATATACTCGACCCAGTTACCTCGTTATACTTTCCTCGATTGTTTCCTCCAAAGAATTAAACTTACTGCCTCGAAAAGCTCCCACTAACGAAACAACTTCAGTTGCTCTAATTTATAACCATCTCGAGTTATAATATTTGTCCATTCTCTTTACACACGGAGAGTTCCAAGATTAAACGAAAGAATAAACTTACAGAGGGAAAGGGGTTATAAATGGTGAGTGAGACGAATTATCGGCGCTCGAAGGAGTGCTTGAAAGTTCATCCATGTTGTTTTTTGATCGACACGGTCGCAAATTTTTCAGCAAAGAAGTCGCCCAGGGCGGTGATAAATTTTCGGCCGAGAGAAGCGGGCTTATAATGACGGTGGCTCGGCCGGAGTGGAGCAATTTCGCCGTTCTCTCGAAGGGAGTAACGCAATCGATACGATCGAGGAGCGTTCCACGAAGCGGTGCCGCGTGCAATATCAATGCGATTCCGCGGCTAATTATTCAAATTACTTCTCCGCTTTACGGAATTCTTGATCAACGCTCGTTTCGCAGCCGTGATTTACGCCCTGTTCAGCCTCGCCTCGGCTCCCTTTGCCTTTCAAATCCATCCTCGAACGAAACGCTTTATTCCGCTCGGCGCGTTCTTCTCGAAACTTTATCGTATTTTTTGTAGAAACTTGAGATTCGCGAAACGGACTCGATTCCAACAGTGTTCCGTAAATCGTTGCCAAGATACGTACGTTTCTATGGAATCTCACGCGCGAAACACGCGCCTTTCATTGGAATCATTCCGCTACGTTGGTTCCTCGATTTACACCCGGCTGTATTTACTCGGCCGCTCCAAACGTGGCCCTACCGAAATAGATCGACTCGAGACGGTAGGAGAACCGAGTCTGCTTCTAATTCCATTATCAAAAACACTTTACTCGTTTTTCAGTCACGTTGCGAGAAAAATTCGTTCATCCTCGCCTTCGAGAAAATCATATCGCGATGAAATGAATGTTGCAATCAACAGTCGGACGCGAAATAAAAAGTTTGTGTAATTTAACATCGACGCAATTGTTAGATCCGCGAGCCACGATGTTCTCAAGGTTGATCTCCGCATGGGATTCGTTTGTTCGAAGAGATGTTTTCGTACGGCGCGTTTCCGGTCACTGGCACGAGCAACAAAGCGACCTGGAAGAGACATCGTTTTTCTCTTTAGTGTGTCACGGTGCCACTCCTAGCGGTACACCGCATACACACATCGATCCCTCGTTGTTATGCAAAGAACATTTTCTCGTCGACGAATCACCACGGTTTCCTCTCCACCTTCGATTCCAGCTTGCTTATTTCCTCTGTCGCCCATTGTCCACTCCGCTCGATCGATCGTCATTTTCGAGAAACGTCGCCGCTTACGAAAGGAAGTTCAACACTCGACCGCTTTTTAAACGATGACAGTTCAGCCTGAGTTTGATATTCCGCCAAGTGCATCGTTCGTTGCACTTTTCACGGTTGAACTTCCTTGCACGAGGCGTAACGTCTACCGTCCGTTATTCTAAATGTCGTCCTCGCAAATGCGAGCGATTAACCTACTACGCTATTGTTCAAACGTGCCGCGCACAATCATTGTGTCGTAAAACGATAAATGGAAGAGGCATTTCATAAAGT